GCTGCTATCATATCCCCCCTCACTCTTCGCTTCTCCAGACTAAACAGACCCAACTCCCTCAGCCTCTCCTCATAGGTCATTAAGAGCCTCCGGAAAAGGGCACTTTTTCCGGAGGATCGGGGCCAGTCTAGACGCTCTTTTCCGGCTTTTTTAAAAGCCGGAAAAAAGCGGCGGACATTTTTATTTAAATGCCGCGGGGGATATTTAAATCCCCCGCGGATTTCCCTACGACGACTAGTGAAATTTACATGCCCCTTCCGGAAAAGGGGCCAGTGTAGACGTAGCCTCAGTGTACATCGAAGGTCTCAGTTCAGACTACAGTAATGTGTTTCGTGCAAGACAACATTTTAGCTCTAAAGGGGGCATTTTACAGCAGGTGCACAGAAGTCAAGGCTTGTTCCGCACTCTGGTACGACGAATGCAGAAGTGGGGGCCCACGAGATCAGTCCAAAACCTTGCCTCTAGTCTACAAGTCTGATATACAAACTTGCCCCCCGCCCCTTGCCAAAATCCTAATACCCACATTTTGGGGAATCCACTGCCACCATCAAGTGATTTTGAATCCACAAACTGGGGTGGACACTTCAAAACCATCCCCAGGGGTACCCTAAGCTCTTTCCCCAAAAGAGCTTGAAAAAAGAAGAGAGAAAAACAAGCTGCAGTTTTTCTGACCCCTCAGTCAGTCATGCAGATACACACAGACAAACCTTCCAGGACACAAAGATCAATGAATACTGGTTAATTAAATAAGAAAGCAATCCTTTATTATCAAACCAAAACTACAGTTGCAAGCATAGTAAAGTAGCTAGATGGAAAGAGCCACCAACTGATATAGATACTCAGGGCTAAAACTTAGTTACAAAGAAAAAAGAAAAACACAATTAACAGCTCAGACATTATTTCCAAATTCCCAAACAAGGAAAACAACAAATCCTGACGTACTAGCTAAACTGTTCCCTGCTTACACATTGTAAGAAGTCTGTTCTTGGAGAGAAAAGTGTCTCCCATCTCCCTCAGTACTTGGAAGAAACTCATCTGCCTCTCAAACACAGAAGAGAGAGAGAGAAAAAAAAATCCTCTCTTCCCGTTTGAAACTCCTACCTGGCCATCCAATACCTGGCTAGGTACAGTAGGCATTAGTTAACCCCTTAGTTACCAGGTGCTAGTCAGCACTCCTGATTATGACAGGAGCTTTGGAACACACATGGCCTGGAGACAAGCAGTCATGGTAACGGTCCAGCAAGGCCACAAGCCTTCAGGCAGGAGGGGTTGGCAGTAGAGGGTGGCTTCCTGCTGTGTCCAGGTGGCTTCCTGCTGTGTCCAGCACACATTACTTCTCAGGACAGTGCAATTTTCGGAGCCAGGCCAGGAGCCTACAGATGCGGGGGAGGGCGGCCCTGCTTCCTGCTGTGTCTGGAACATGCTGGGTCTTGGGAAGAGAGTGATTTTTTCCCTGCCTGTAAGTGTGGGGTGGAGGATGTGTTTGTGAGTGGCAGACATGGCCTCCCTGAGAGAGGTGCTGTAGTAGGTCAGGACAGCGATGTAGTAGATTCGAGATTCACTGGTGTGGCATCCTGACAGGTCTGCTGCTCCATCAGTGATGATAAACATTCGGCTGCATGCATTTTCGTATGCTCCCTCCGTATATCATGCCAGCTCTGTGCAGGTAGCTAGCATAATAGACTTCATGAGAGCCCCCCAAAACCACAGACTCGAATAAAATATGAAGGCACCAGAGTCAGGTTTATTATCAAATGAAGTATATTAATAGTCATCAGTAGCCAGATGGTGTTCGAGGCCCTATGCATTTGTTCCCATGACAATAAACAAGGCTCAGTCAATAGTATAAATGTCACTATTGCCCCCTGGGCTGGACAAAAAGTTAAAAGAAATACCCCAACATTTATAAACAAAAATAAACAATCTAAAATATATACCTTGGCTACGTCTAGATTGCATCCCTTTTTCATAAAAGGGATGCAAATGAAGGGATAAGGGATCTTTTGGAAAAGGCTTTATTTTCCGAAAGATCCGCATCTAGACTGGCGCTTTTTTCCGGCAAAGCTCTGTGCCGAAAAAAAGCAGCAGCCATTTTTATGCTAATGAAGCGGAAAATAATCTTGCTAGGTAGATAATTTGATAAAAAGAAAAGAGATGCATGCAAAGAATATTTTTTCAGGAGACTGGCAAATGGGGAAACTGTCCAAAGAGAATGGCTTGCTTATTCTCCCTCAATGGATAAAATGCATTGCTACATAGAAAAGTTTGCATATGTCAATCACTACTCTAACCAATTTATAACAGGTTTTGATGACAGGAAAAATGCAGTCACGTGAGCAGTCAAAGGATAATCTTGGCACATTGTAATGATGCTCCAGCATCAGAAGTTGACCAGAATTGATGCAGAATTGGAGAAGATGAAGGAAAGATCATATAAATACTGGATTCAAGTGCTAAAGAGAGTAGTTGCTGTAATAAGATTCCTTGCTGAATGGGACTAGCCTTTTGTGGGGATACTGAAATGCACAGCTGCCTTAGTTGCAATGAACTTCTAACTAAATTTGATCCGTTTCTCTCAAAACACATGCAATGACATGGAAATCCAGGAAAAGGGTATGTGTCTTATCTTTCCAAAATTATATGGGATGAATTGATTGATATATTAGGATTCAAAGTTATGGTGCAGATAATACCTATAATCAAGAAGGCAAAGTATTTATGGAATCAATATTGATTCATCTCCTGATGAGCTTACAGTGGTGTTTCATTACGTACTCAGTGATGGAAATGTGGCTGAGCGATTTCTTCAGTTCATCGCCATTGAACAACATGATGGAAAATATTCAGTTTTTTGCAGGATATTCTCAAACTTGATGGCATTGATATTACAAGCGGCAGGTCAGTCAGATGATAATGCCAGCAATATGAGTGGCATTTATTCAGGGGTTCAAGCTAGGTTTTGTTAAGTTAACAGTTTGGCTGAATGGGTTCCATGTGCTGCCTATAATCTGAATTTGGTTTAATCAGCTGCTGTGGAGTGTTGCCCTGCAGCAGTCACGTTTTGGGAGATTTTGCAGTTAATCATTATGTTCTTCTCAGCTTCATCCCATAGATGGTCTAAACATGAAGCAAAATGCCTACGTTGTACAAAGCCCATGAGAAACAAGATGGTCTGCACAGAGCGATGCCACCAGAGCACTTTACATAAACTGTTCTGAAATTCATCAGGCTTTGATAGACATAGCTGAAAGTGATCAACAACCACCAGCAGCTGTCCATGAGGCAGTCACTGACTAAGAAGCTGGATCAGTTGGAGATAACGTTGATGTGCGTCATTTGGAATGACATAGTACAAAAGAATAATCTTGTGGATAAAGCTCTACAGGAGCCTGGCATTGAGTTGTGCACTGTCATGAATTTACAGAGGGTTTTTAGAACACTTTCGTGATTCCCGTGATAAATTTCATATGTTTGAGGCAATTGCAAAAGATCTCACACCAACCGACTACAATGAGACTACACAACGCGACAGACCAATTTTTGGATGAAGTCTATATGGGTAGCATTGTCTTGGATTTGTGTACCAGTGACAAATTTCACACATGGTGCTTCTATTTTATCACGGATAAACTTATTGTTAAGATGGTCAGTGTAACGCGGGAGCCCGTCCTGCTCCCCGCCGTGAATCTGTTTGCCCCCCTTTTGACGTCCCTCTCACCGCTTGTGCTCCTCCGCTCCCCTCCTCCTCGTGCTGCGTGCCTCTCCTCCAGTGCCCTGTGCCTCCTTCCTCCTCTGTTCCCCTCTCCTCTCCTCCTCCGCTCTTTCTCCCGCCTCCGCTCTCTCCTCCTTGTCCGCTCCTTCCTCCTTCACTCGCTCTCCGTCTCCCTCCTCTCCTCCTCGCTCCTCCGTGCTCTCCCCCTTTCCTTCTGCTCCTTCCCCCTTTTGAATTCCCCGCCGGCGTCCGGCCCGGGCGACGCAACGCGCCACGTCACCAGGCTCCGCCCCCGCCGTGCGCGTGTGCCCGGTGACGTCAGACGTCACGTCGCCGAGGCTCCGCCCCCACCCTACGTTGCCGTCCCGACGCAGCCCCCCCTC